ATTATATATATAATATAGACTTCCCTATAATCACGGTCTCAATTTGTGATGAACAGTCTTATCCACGGTAAGCTTCTAACAACACATTTTTATACATTTTTCTTATATTGTCTCATATTTGGACTTTGTTTGAAATCCTCGCTTAAATTAATCCATAGCCTAACACCAGAAATTAAGAAATAAAAAAAACATTAAAAAATGCTAAAAGTCTCATGTGAAAAGTCCAAATTTCCACTTGAAAACTCCAATATTTACATATTTAAAGTATTTTCATAAAGACAAACCAAATAAATCAGTTTGTTACATAGGTTTTTTACAAATCCTACAGATTATATTTACACATTCACATTACTTTGGCCCATTTCTCTTTTTGCTTTAGTGAAGATCATTGAAATCATAACACTGAGATTTTACTTTTACATGGTGAAACATTTGATGAATCCTAGCCAACTTGTGTAATTGCAGATGTTTTTGTCTTGTTTCCCTTACATTGAGTGTTTTGTACTGAGTAATAAGGGAATATATCTTCATTGGAAACCTTTTTCAGCCGCCTTTAACTAATGCTAATTACCTTCTCAGCAGCCCGAAATAAAGAATTACAACAGGAAAGAAATAAATTACCCTACATAAAGAAAACAACAGCAGAGGCACTTAGAGTGGACAAGGTGAACATAGATGAGATAAATGAGACAGAGGGAGGAATAAAGAGAGGTCAGATTGAGAGATAATGGGGGGGGGGGAGTAGAGGGGAGAGATAAGGATGTTGCTGAGGAGGAGTGGAGACTTTGTAAGTCAGAGGCTGGAGGCGCATTTAAATTCAGCCTGTGYTTCTCTTGCGCTAGCCGAATGTTACCGGCTCTAGCATGGCAACAGGGGCGGGTGGGGGGCTTCAGCTGCAGCCTCYACACACACACACATTCACACACACAGTCACATCAGGATCACAAAGAGTGACTCAGGTAAGCAGAAACGCCCCTGATGAGACAGGACCCTTGGAGAATGAAGCAGTGTGTGCTGTGAGGAAGAGAGATAGTGGAGGAAGAGGAGGAGCTAGAGAGCTGAGATTTTTTTTATTATTATTTTTGAGAAGGAAGAAACAAGGAGTCACACTCAACCGGTAATATCTCAGATTCTGGACTCTCAGGGTGGGCTATAACAAGAAAGAAGGAGGATAGACAGGAAGACAAGCAGGATGGATGTGGAGTGATGCAGGAGCTCTGGCTGCACARATGTGAGGCTCAGAGAAGAAACAGACAGTTAAATCTAACAGCAAGCTTGCTCTGAGGTTTGAAACTAGAAGGCAGACTGGAGGTGCCTTTTTTTGTTACAGGGGGAGCAGAGAAGGGATGAGGTGGAACGGAAGGGAAAACATGCAGAATGAGAGATGAGCCACCTGTTTGTTTAAAGATGAGCTGAGCAGACATTAACCCTCTGCTCCTTGGGCTGAACTCTTCAGGACTTGCTGTGGACAAATCATCTCCCAGAGATGCTGTAAGGCAGCCGCTGTCAGGACCACCTGGACCCGAATGAAACTGGCCTCTCCCCGCCGCCCCGCTCCAGCACCTCTGCGACAACTTGCGGGCATCTGATTCTTCGTCTCCTACAGGATCTCTAAACTCCCTCACGAGGCTGCGATCAGGTGGCTCACCTGTGCCATGAGGGTCCTGTTTGTGAACCTGTGTTGAAGCAACCCSACCACCACCACCTCCAGAGGCTCTGTCAGACCTCTTTCTCCTCAAACTTGATGTCTTGATGTATTGCTGTGGGCTGGGAGGACAGTGGAGGAGAGTGCAGTCCACCTATGTAAGTGACCATAACTGCATTGCTTCCTCCTGATCCCGTAGCAACAGAGAAGTTGTTGAAGTTGTTTAATGGTGTTGGGGTGGGTTTGATCCATACATTAAGATTTGTATTCAGGTACATTTTTTCTTGTCTGCAGTGCTCAAACACATGCCGAGCATCTCAAATGTAACTCCTTTAATTGTGTGTTTTGCCGATGCGGAGTTTGTCGCTTAATTTTCAGCTCAGTTGTAATTTATTAAGAAATATGGTGAAATGTCAAACAGCTATGTTTTCATTTGAAAGGGAGAATTTTCAAAAATATTCCCCAAATGCTTAAAAAAATAGTAGATTTAGTGTTTTATGGCATTTTTCTCATCATTATAGAAGTCGATTTTTATTGAGCAAACTTGTTTAATTGCTTTTGTACATTAATCAATAATAATAAAGAGTTGCTTTCCTCACATTTTATGCCCTGGCTGAGAAGGAGAGTGTAAAGTCCTCTCAGTGACCGAGATMAGCACCTGGTTCAACCTGTCTTTCTTCCTTTCATGCTTTTCTGTGGAGTCCTGTTGCAGCTTATTCTTTGATGTTGAAACTGTGCATAAATTTCGATGGCTCAAAATGCACAGGACCTAATCTTAGTTCCGTTTCCCACAYGAAACAGGCTTACTGTCAGTCCCTAACACTTCATAGGCCGTCGGCGCAGAGCCCTGCAGATTACCACATACTGTATTGCTGCGAGCCATGTGGGCCCACCTCAGCAACAAACYGGAAAAGGAGCTTAGGGAATCATAGCAGCCAAGAAATACATTCATGGAGGTTCTGTATGCATGCTGTAGTATTGGCACAAGTCAAACCTGACCGTTAAAAAAATTAAAAAAAAATTCCAAATGTCATTCATTTTTAATTGATGGAGCAGACTCTGCGAAGTTTACTGGTCTCCCCTCACCTGAAGCAAACTGTCCMATATGAATTGTTCATTTTGAACCAATCAGRTTATCAAAGCARAATTACTTCATAAAATCTGATGTCTGGAGGGGATTTCCCTTCTAGGTTKGTTTTTACGGAAGCATAGAGCTGTCACATGACATAAAATTATTTTAAACTGGATCTCGTTATGACAAGAAAACTGTCCCGTAAAAACAAGAAAATATGTCGTTATAACGGCAAAAATATCTTGTTATAATGAGAAAACTATCATCCAGGCATGATGGAGAACACAACTGAGCCATTATGTGCCTTTGTACGAAAAAGAAATCTGCAAGAGGAACACATTTCTAGAYTAAAAAATGACAGTTACTGAATAATGTTTTTGAAATAATAGTGTCTGAAATCAGATTAGAGAGTGTATAYTGCTAAAGAAGTGCTACTAACTGCAATGTCTGAGCACAAACCCAAAAAATATGTGTTCTGTTTGTTTTTGTTTATATAGTGGTTCAGTCATGTTCTCCATCACACCATCCAGGCAATAAACTTCCGTGAAAGTGACAAACCAGAAGAAACCATAACACGTTATAAGGAGGTGGTTATCTTGATATAACAAGATAGTTTTCTCGTTTTTACAAGACAGTTTTCTCATTATAACGAGTTATTTTTTGTTTTTTCTATAACGACATACTGTATTTTCTTGTTTTTACGAGATAGTTTTCTCGTTATAACGAGATCCAGTTTAAAAATAATTTTATGTCACATGACAGCTCTATGCTTCCATAGGTTTTCAACTCAATTCAGTTTATTTATATAGCACCAATTGACAACAAATGTCATCTCCGGGCACTGTATAAAAAAAAAAATACAAAAAAAGCAGTCTAAGGAAGCCAGCAGTTTGTTTTGAATCTTCACTTTATTGCAGTCTCCCAACTAACAACTAAATATTATGCAATCATGATGCTCAAATGTATTTGTATGTGTGTGTTTGTGTGTGAGTTTGGCTTTGATTATAGTAAATGCTTTTAGATGAATGACTGAATGTACCTACCAGCAAATTTAATTTAAGTGAAGTGGTACAAGGGATTAACAGAGAGCATCCAGGAACTTTGTATGTTTTAAAGGTTTTATCACATTTATTTGATGTGGATAACTGAGCCCAACTCTTCACCTGCCAGCCCATTTGTCCTGATGCTGAAAACATCAGTAAAGCACTTGTTTGTTGTCTAACCAGGCACACAAGATAATCCAGCTCTGCTCTCTGACAGCAAAGAGCACATCTACAGAAACATTTCAATTTGATGTCAACGAGAATCTGGGAGCAAAATATTGGAAAAGTTCAAATTAATAAAATGTTTTTCTATTTTATGTTGTTTCAGGCGATGTTGGTAAAATATTATGGCGTAGGTGTTTTATGTTTGTGACACTGATCTCTGGTTAATACAAAGTTTTATAATTTGTTGATAAGGTAGAAAAAGTAAGTCAGTATAATTTACGAATTAAAAAAATAATACTTTGAAGTACTGGTAGTTCTGTTTTAGCCCCATCCTGATAATGTTTATGTCACTAAAGCTCCATGAGAGATTCAGTTTAAAAGTGAGTTTGGGATTGGCCAAAAGAGGCGATCATCCACAATACCAATAATCTCTCAATGTACCAATCCTTCTCTTAGCCTCTTTGACCAATCGGAGGCTCGCCAACCAGATTACGATCAAAACACAACGTAACACGAGCAGAAACACAATCACGAAGGCTGCAAATGTTCATAAAGCCTCTTTGTTTTGTTCATTTTCGAAGGAGAACAGTTCTGAACAAATTGATGGACTTCACAGCGATCATTTGAACCATGCTGGTGGTTTTTATTCCTTCTAAGTAACATGCCCTCCTCTTTGGACTGGTCCCCTCCAGTCCTTACGCCCTCCATCTACCCCTCAGCATCTCTCGTTGCTTGCTGGTTCTACCCTGCAGCATCATGGGGGCACCAGCCAGATGTTTGGCTTCATCTTTGCGTGGGGACTGTGAATCCGAGGAGAGCCAGCAACCACCAACAAGCAGGAAGAAGAGGATGAGTCACGTGTACGACTGAAGAAACTTTGTTCAAGTTCTATTTCTGCCTCTGACAGGCATTTCTGGAGCTCATCTTTGTTCCTTTCTGGCTCCCACTCTTCCTCCTTCTTATTGAGTGAGTTTTGGAGAATATTTAGCTGGGTATGATGGGCGGGCAAAGCTCCTGTCAGACATAAATCTGGTGTGATTTTGCTGGCAAAGGGGCAGACAGTAGAGGATGGAGGATGTCGCTGCTGTTAAATGTGATCTGGGATCTGCGTGGGRACTCTGAACCTATGAGGAACTGGGGTCACTGCCTTGCTTCAAGTCATGTCAAAGTTGCTCAAGACCAAGAACGTCTCCTGGGTGAGTACAGTCCTTATAGTTAAGGTAAGGAAAGAGTTAATCAGAATCAGTTTTATTGCCGTTGTCAATGAACAGGATTCACAGACTAGGAATTGCTTCGGTGTAGGTATCAAATATAACAAATGAAGAAAAAAAAAACTAAGGATAGAGGAAAATATAATGAAATATAGAAAACATATGTACACCAGTTCAATACAGTAATCGGAGAAGACAATATATTTGGAGTAGTGCAGTTAGATCCAGTGATGAAAGTGACCAGAAAAACAATATATGGTAGTCAGAGCTGTCCAGTTTAAGAAACCAGTGATAAAGCCAAGGCAGAGTTTTAGAGTCACGTGTTCTAAATGTTCTAAATGTTCAAGAGTCTGAAGGGGGGGGAAGAAGCTGGTCTTATGGCGGGATGTTCTGGTCTGAATGGACCGAAACCTTCTGCCTGAGGGGAGTGGTGTGAACAGGCTGCATGCAGAGTGAGAAGGGTCAGCTATTACWCAAGTGGAGATATAGGGCTGTTTCTGGATAAGATATGCTTTTGAGTACTTTTTACATCCATCACACATCTTAAAAAAATATAAAATTTTGATATAAGAATTTCAGCATTGACAGAACAAGCTTTCATTGTTTATTCTAAACATTGTTTTGGGTCAAAATTGGATCTTGATTCATATAGTAAACTCTTAATATTTCAAGAGAAACGTGAACAATTACATTTTCATCTAGGATAAATACATATTCTTCTCTGCCTTGCTAGGCAAAGTTTTAAACAGTCATCCTGTGTAATAGAGCTGAGTGTGTTGCTCAGCTACTCCATCAAACTAATAGGTCATTATTTGTAAAACAAAGTTGCAGTGTTTTTTGCGTTTGCTAAGATTGATAACCTGTGGTGGTTGTGAATTAGGTTAACAAAGAGCAATTGTATGTACATGTAATGATTACTTTATGAGAATTCGGTTCACAAAATATTTTGTTAACACAAAAACACRGACAGTCGCCTRMCTTTCATTTGAGTGAACAATAAGATAATGATTACAGTAAACTCATTAGCACAAAGTGACATAAAGTTAAAAATTTAACATAAAGTCTGGCCCATTTGCTATCAATAATATATTGAGGTTTATTTTTAGGCCTGTGTATTTTCTGGTTGTGGGGAWATATTGGAGGGCAGAGTAGGTGGTCAGGATTTGCAGCTTCTTCTCAAATGGTGCATGACATCCATTTCTGTGCCAGCGGGTGCGCTACTGGCCTCAGCTGACTGCGGTCACACACACACAGACACACGCACACACACACAATAGTTGTAAGAAGCTTAGGAACAGATGTTTGTCTAAATGTGTGGGAGCACATGTGCATATGCACACGTGTGATGGCAGTGGATAAAGTGAGATGAGAGGTGTGGGCCTGTGCAGATGTGGTTTTCACAAATTCATATAAACGCCACCAGAGGCACAAGACTGAAGTGTGTGTGTGTGTGTGTGTGTGTGTGTGTGTGTGTGTGTGTG